AGGTATACTACTAACTAGCAGATTCAAGTGCCCTGCACCAAATCAAACGCATCTTTTTGATTACTTGAAAGCATTATGTGATATAACTTATTTAGAACATTTGAGATTACTGGTGCCTAAAAATATAATTTGATTTACTACAAAAAAAAAAGACTTTTCGCAATACTTTATACAGACAATCACAGTGGTAAAAACCCCTGCTATGTTTGCCTTTATATAAGCACTGCCAAAAACCTTTTTTTAGTAGGAAAAGAAATTATGCTATACAAAAGAGAAATAAATTCAGTTTCGACAAGAACATGAGAAAGGATGATGGCCAAATTCATCTACTTTGAAAGGTAAAATTAACAGAATTCAGTTTCGGCAAGAACATGAGAAAGGATGATGACCAAATTCATCTACTTTGAAAGGTAAAATTAACAGATGATGGAGCTTTTAAAGGAAGCATGTTTGCTTGATAATATTTTGGCAATATGATAAGCAAAGTTTGCAGATCTCCTTCTAAAATTATAATCTGGAATAGACCTGAAGTGGGTGAAATTAAACTAAATGCAAAAGGATATGCATATCAATTGTTTAAGAAATTTTGGGTTAACATTCTCGGAGGACAAATAGATAGTGCTGAATTTTTTTTGCTGGGCTTGTGCATTTCATGTAACTGGCAAGCCTAAGGTTTTACATTTACTCCTAGCATGTTCAATAGATACGCAGGGTTCACGCCAAAACCCATCAAATTGATGCTTAAGATTAAGAAAAACAAGGAAAAAAAAAAACATAACTCTTCATCACTAGGCCAAGAATATCGAAATAATGTGCTAAAATCCTGATTAATGGAAATTATTCAATTCTCTCCCAATGCATGAAAATGATTAAGGCTCCACATAGGGCTCCTTTAAGAGCATCAACTGGAATAATCCACATAACACTAAATTAAAAAATCAAAAAAAAAAAATGACTGAATCAAACACAATGTAGAGATATGCTCCATAGACATGAAATGGTTTTCTTTTAAAACATTGACTTCTAAAGTAACAACAACTATAATAGGTAAGTTGCACACTAGAAAGTTTAAGGAATTAATCAACCCAAAAAACTTTATTTTCATAACAGAAGCTATAAGATGAGTGTAATTGAATAATCAAATTCTATACACATTCTTTATAAGAACTTTTTTAATAATTCACCTTTGAATTCTTTACTTTTATCTAAGTTCTAAACTATTCATATGAATAAAAACATAGCAAAAATATAATCTTTCCAAAATTATGTTGTTGACTTTTGATGTAGTCAGCAATAAAAAGAGAGTCCATGTTTTTGTTCATGCAATAAATCAAATTTATGTAATACACACTTATGAGGTAAATTTCCCTCTAGTAGAAGTTTAAGAAGCATATTGACTAAATTTTATAAGATAACTTTTCATGTCGAAAAAAAAGAGAGGTGTAGAGAGGAATATACATAGGAGAATCTAGAAATCTTGTAGCAGGAGATGGAGCCTTGAGTCTTTGCAAGGGGCCTAGAGAAATGACATGAGCAAGAGAGGACAGTCAAGAAAATTAAAGAAGCAAAAATTAAAAAAGAAAGTCACTTTCAAAGAGAAAGAGATGGGGAACTTTTTTTCTTAAAATAGAACTAGTTCATCCATGTGAACAAGCGCCATCAGATTGGGCATGAAGCCAGGTGCGCCGCACACATAATATATGATCAATAAAGTTTGATAATGTCAACACAAGGGGTTGATTATTGCGCTATTCTTATTAAGATTTCAAATCCATAATAAAAAAATTATATTGAATTTCTAAAAAACATAGTTTGTATTACAAACAACCAAATAAACCTTTAGAAGAAAGACCACAACCAGCAGAGAACACTGCTCAAAAACATCATCCTAACAAAATAATGAACATTCATAAGCAATAGAAAAACAACACCTTGATGTTCCCTTTCTATGAGTGAATTCGCCAATGTATTCATTCAAAATGTAAAAAGTAATTTATTCACTCAAAGCAACCAGTAGAGTAGCGTTCTTCTTTATGATGAATCATAGGAAAACCCTAAAATGCTTGGTATGATGCTGACATAAGGGAGGAAACAAGTATGAAATTAGGCTTCTTAAGTGAAAAAATGAGTCACCGGATTTACAGTAAATCCATACCTCAATATTTGAACAATGGCGGCTCCAGATTGAGATGGTGAGTATCTCATATTTGAACTTTTTTCATATCTAACCATAATAATTGAAATGAAATGTTAGGTCAATCTATGTTAAACGAAAGTAAAAAAAATATTATATTTACTTGAAAACTATAATAAAATGATACTCAATTTTAATAAATTTAAAATTTAACATGATTTTATTTAAATGATGACTAATAAATCATAAATTATGTCTAGAATTTATGTCTTTGAAGATACATTCTCATTCAACCAATTGGTTAAGAGCCATAACACTCGACCAAATTACCATCTAATTTTTTTTCTAATCGAAGAGAGACAAACCTTTATATGACATTGATCTGAAATAACATAAAAAAACTGCATTGTATTTTTTTTCCCTCTGCCATTGGAAGATGACATGACCAAAAAAGAGAATGGGATTAGAGAAATTGAAATTAGGGGCATTTACATACATAAAACCCAATTCTTATATATTTACATATATAACAACAAAACTTTTCTTTTTTATATTTAAATCAGAAAAACTGTGCTGGAAATGCATTAAAAAAAATATAGGGTGCTGGAAGGTGCTAGAAATACATTAAAAAAATAGAGTAATATGCATGTAAATCTTCCATGAAAATAATCTTAAGCGAAAAAAACTGTGCTGGAAGGTTTAAACATAATAACTTCGCTATCTGACTTGTGCGGACCTATGCTTTATTTCAACAAATAAGATTTCCACTACTAATTTCAACTTCCAGACATCATTTCACGTATGAAGCTATTTTGTTTTAACTTATTTTATATCGGTGCTAATCATATCAATGACAGACAAAGATTCTTCTGATACAGATAGGTAAATCAATCGAAGAGATGTCAACTTGCTAGTGTTTTTATAGTTTGTAATAAAAAAAGCTTCTTTGAAAGTGATGACAGTTAAAAAATGGATGATTCAGAGAAAAAGTTTGAGAAAGAGATTAGTCAAATTAGATCTTGGATGGACGAAATCTTCGCCTCCATAGAGGATATTACTAGTTTTGAGAACATGTTTTATTTTACTATAGGAAATGAATATGAATAGATGTATCCAGACAAGCCCCATAGAGCTGAATGCATGTTACAACTTTCATGTCCCTCTAACCAAACATAGAGAAGACTTATTCTCTCATTCTCTCATTCTTCTCGCAGCATCATTTTTTAAGAGCTAAGAGAATCAAAGAACTAAACACCTCAAAAAAAGAGTTTTTGTAAACAAAAGGAAGCCTCATTGGCTTAATGTATCAAGCTCTCCAGGGTAGGACATTGACTAGATAAATCATATATGTGAGTCATATCTTTAAAAATGACAAACTGCAACGCTTCTTACTATCCAAAAGGGTTCCCCAAAAATCTTTGAAGTAGATCAACATTCCAGTGAAGTTCCTCAGGACATGTCTAACCAACCTTAACCTTCAATCAAGGTTTCTAGTCAAACTCGCCCATACTATCTGATTTCCTATTTCATACTTATACGAGCTAGTCAGACCTTCTAAACAAACTAGCTGACAACTACTTAGCTATATCATCGAACTCAATGAGCAGCTCTCCAAGGCAAAAGGAAGAGAGTTCTCCACTATTAGCAACATACCACACATCAATTAACAATATGACAATCAATACCAACAGTCTTTTCATCAATGAGTCTGCTCCAACTCCTTATTATGATCATAAAGTCTAGTTTTATGTTAATTTACTAAACCCCTATGTGAGTATACAGGCTCCTAAAGTGTATAAATAAGAATAAAAGGGAAGAAAGGACGACTTCTCTTGCTCTCGCTCAATCCTATACCCTCAAAAAACTCTCTAAAAATCCACCCTCTTTTTCTAATGTTGTGATTTTATTCAGGGATTTACTAATAAAAATATCATATAAATAATATAAAATTTTGGATATTAAATGAATGAATATATAAATATATATATTGTTTATGTTATATACATAAAATTCCCAATCATTATCTATTAGCGGCGCTAAACAACACAAATGCTAACTACTGAAAAATATTTTTAGATAGAAGAAAACTGCATATGCTTATAACTTCAAAAAATTATGGTGCTAGAAAAAAAAAATGACGCACTTGCAGGAGCATATTTTTAACCGTCTGGTAAGCAGCATTTTTTTTATCTAGGACATAATTTTTATGTAATTACACAGTTCGCATCTAAATTTTCATATTTACCAATATAATACTTGAATTTTATTATTACATAAACAATACCATTATCATCACCTTTTAAAAGCGAAACACTGTAATTAGCGCTGTGACTTTAGCTTGAAGATCTTTACTCGCTCTAAAATCTATTCAAATTTTGGCTCAGATTGAGATTGAATTAAATTAAATGAGCCAAAAATTTGGATTCAATTTTTTCAAGCTGATTTTGAGCCATATATGAATTGGCTCGCAATCAGCTTGTATTATTTTTTATTTATAAAAATTATATATATAAACTATGTATAATTAAATATAATGAGTCACCAGCCAATTTCGAGCAGATTTCAAGCTAGAATAAATACATAACTCAATTTGAGCTAGTTGGTTCAAATTTAGAGCAATTCGAGCTGAAATGGATTGAAATAACTCAATTTGAGCTATAACGGTTCAATTTCGAGCCAAATCGAACTGCATTCAATTTTGAGTGGGCTCGGCTCGAAATTGAATATAAGGAGCCACAAGCCGCACTAGATCTATTCGAGCCCGCCCCAACTCCGCTCAAATTGGATGGTTAACATTCCTAATTGGAATATGTGTAACATATCCAAATATATAATAATTGTGCTAGATATGTAAATTTTGCTATAAGTAATGCATCTCTTTCACTTGAAATCTGGGGGCCGTCTTAAGAGTCAAGCCGCACCACCGACTCTAGAGAAAGCTCGTCGCCCATGGACCCGAACCGGCCGCCCGATATGCTACCGACAAACCACCGTTTCGGCGGCAGCCAGATCCAACAAAACCCTAGGAGCTCCGGGCACCGGAGGGCCCAATCCGAGACCTTCTACCGCTTCCCTGAAGAATTCCTGTTCGACTCGGACCCGGATTTCAACCTCGCTGACATCGAGTTCCCCTCACTTTCCGATGACAACATCTCCGGCAGTAGTTCCACCGCCGCTCCTGCGATTTCTACTGAGTCCGGCGGAAAATTGGAGCATTCGAAGGCGCAAACAGCGTCGAGGACCGCCGGAGGTGGAGCTCACTTGAGGAGCTTATCGGTCGATGCGGCGTTCTTCGAGGGGATGGGGTTCCAAGGAGCTGGCGTTCCTGGTGGTGCGACCGTGGAGAAGAAACCGCAGCATCGGCACAGCAGTTCTATGGATGGGGCTTCGTCTTCGTTCGAAGGAGAGTCTCCGCCGTCGCAGTCGGATTACGCGAAGAAGGCGATAGCGGCGGATAAGCTTGCGGAGCTGGCTTTGATCGATCCGAAGAGAGCCAAAAGGCCTGATCTCTCTCTAATCTTTATTTGAGGCTTGAATGCTTATGTGACGATTAGGACTTATGATTCTTGCTGGAGTCGATTTGTTATTGAATTCTGATCAATTTTGACCAACCTGCTTTGAGTGCTTTTAGCCGTATTTCGTTTTTTCCAAATTTAGCGGGCATCTACTTTATAGCCTGGTATTTCTACTTATGCTCTGAATTTTAATTGCTTTGTTTTCTGAATTGGGCTTTCTATATTAGAAATTCATTCGATGTTATTCTGGATTGAATGGCGTGGACTATGGAAGTTTTGGTCTCTTTCGCTAGTATATGATCAATTTGTTTTTATTTATTTATTTTCGCCTTAGTTTTGTGTGATCATAAAAAAATTGAAAGAATTATTTTGGAACGACATGTTCTTTGTTTCTCAGCTTTTACCAATTTTTTTCCCTCTTTTTTGTGCTGTAGAATTCTTGCAAACAGACAATCTGCTGCAAGATATCTGCTGCAATTAGGCAGATTTTCATACAACTCCATTCTTATATGTTTACTAGTGAGCTTGAGCGCAAGGTGCAAACGCTTCAGACAGAGGCAACTACCCTCTCAGCACAGCTTACTCTGCTGCAGGTACTCTAGTTTCATCCATATAGACATATGCCTAACTGAATGTTTTTGGACTAATCCTTATTTATGTCTTCCATTGCATTCTGAAAATTTAACCGTGCTTTCTAGGAATACTTCATGTCCTATAATTCTGAGAATCGTGGATGAAATAATCTATAGGTATTACATAGTAATCACTTGTTGGGTCTTTCTACTTGGATCGGGCATCTCTAACATTCCCATTTCATGCTTGTTTGCTTGGATCACTTTTTTTTTTCCTTTCACCTATAAATTATGCTGGGAATAAGGTTATTGGAACTTATGGTCCATTATGTGGTTCTAAGATGTTTTGGTGTATAATTCTTTCATCTTTTATAAATTCGGTATTCTGTTGTTTAAAATTGCATAATGTAAGTATCTTACTGTTGGAAAAAATAAATATGAGAGCAAGGAAAAAAAAAAAACAGAGCCGAAATAGTGCCCTCAAGAACTCAAGCATAAGGTTAATGGAAATACATGGTTTAGAGAGATTAACTAGAATAAATTCATGATCACACAGAGAAATATATCTACTATAACTAAGAAGATTACTTCAAAATTTCTTTCAAAGGTCTTTAATATTGTGGTAGTTTAGTGGAGCAATTAGCAAAGAAACAAAAATTAGGAGAGAAAAATCAAGGACCTTTACTAGTATTTTATATTCACAATAACAATTTTTTTTTTTGCTTCCACTGAACTTGCCTGGTGCATAACATGTTTTTTTACAGCACCACCATGCTTGAACCAACATCAACATGCTTGTATTGACATCACAATGGCTGAACTTTGTTGAGGTAGTCCATCATGATCAAACAATGAAAGTGCCAAATAACTTACCTATCAACTTTCCATTTTTTCTCTCTCTTTTTTTTCTATTCTTCTTCTCTACCTCTCACTTTTTCATCTTTGACTTTCTCGATCTATTTTCTATGTTATTTTAAACTAAAGCAACACAATATGTTCTCCTTCCGGTAAGCACCAACACACAAAAAATGAGAGATATAAATTTTAAAACTAATTAATAATAAAATTACCAAAAAAAAAATCTAAGCCAAAAATTCATTTTTATTTTGGTTTTATGCTTATCATCTGGAGCAAAAATCTACTAGTTAACGCCAATTAGGTAACGATTTTTTTAAGTCACTAAAGTTGGGATCTTAGACTATCAATTTTATTTATTGAATGAAAATAAATTGGGTCAGCATATCCTTATCCATTTTTTAGTCACGACTCAAGCTGGATCGTAAAACCATTAGATTTACTTTTAGATGAGTGTAAGACAAGTTTTGATTGAGCATGTATACATTGTAATTTACTCTGCACGCTTACTAATTATATTCCTTGGGAAAATTAAACAAAAATTGATAATTAATCATTTCAATTTTTGAAAAGATGCTTATGATTCAAATTTATTTCAAAAAATCATGATTTAAAAATCTTCGTGAAGTTTTTAATTTTTGTGATAGGGAATTAAATCAAACTTGGTTCTATTAGGTTTATTTTTAACTTAAAATTATGCTTTGATTTGATTTTCTTTTGTTTAGATTGATTTCTTGTGTTCATCTGCTTGATTTATCCAGTATAATATAAGTTATGATTGAAATTTGGTAAAAATTTTTTGTAAATTATAAATTTACAATCAATCTTTAAATTTTAATTTGGCAGTTAAAATTCTATATTGCATGATATAATTTGGTATGGATATTTTTTGCACTTTTTGTCAAAATTGCATACTTTTAAACATTGACCATCTGATGATCCGATTAGGAGAGTAGATGTTTTAGATTCGACTTTTGTTAAAAAAGATAGAGGTAGATCTAAAAAGACTTGGACTTGTTGTATAAAAAATGATGTTAATTTATTAGCATTAAATGAAAATATGACACTCTAGGGCACAATGGAGAAAAAGGATTCATGTACCCTACCCCACTTGGGATAAATGAAGGCTTCTTGTTGTTTTTGTTGTCTCAAAATTGCATACCTAACAAAACAAGAACAATCATGTTATGTACCACTAGAAATTGAAATCAATACCAAATCTATCAATTATTTTGATTTGGTTTCAATTTGATGCATTGTTTTAACTTGTTGTTTTGTTTAAATTTGAAGTTTTAGGAAGCCAAATAAGCTGATGGTAATTGAAAATTACATAATTCAATTTTAACGAACTAATTAAACTTATGGAGCTGGTAGTTTATAAATTTTTCCTTTTATTTTAAATTAGTATCAAACCAAATAGAATCAAGCAATTGAACAAAAAAAAAAATTCAATTTAACTGGATCAGGTCAAGCGAAAATATAGTTTTTTTTTTAATTTTGTTATTTAACCCAACCAAATCATGTGGTTCAATTATATATATATATTTTCAATTTAAATTATTTTTTTCAAGGTGATCATTTAAATTTCAAACTATAGTTTGTTTGGAATAAATTCAAATCATGCACACAATTTAATTTTAGGATCTGTAGTGATCAAACATCTACCAATCAAATCTGTCAATATGGTGATATTAATGGCAAGCGCGTGCTTTCAATTTCTGTTCGTAGTGATTTATTGATAAGTACTCATTTGAACTCCATACAAAACTCTATTGAATTTTTGTGCAGCGTCAGGCATCTACTTGCTTTGATATTTTAGAATCTTTGCATTTAGGACCGAGTTATTGCAAACAGCCAATGAAATGTTTTGTATTACTTTGCTGTTGCGAAAATGATTCATGTATTTTCTAAGCGTTATGGTAGTTGACAAAATAATCATGGTATCTCATGAAGGTAATATGTGTGGTCTTGTGCTCTAGATGATTCATAGAGTGCCAATAGACTACAAAAAATTCGTACAAACTTAACAGTTTTGATTTACATCATTGCATTGGTCGTATTAGTGCCGTAATAATTATATTCCTGACCTTACCAGAACTCCTCACACAATGTTAATATATTATAATTTTTTAAAATTTTTACTTTTTTTTTTATGATAGACCTATTTTTTTTGGTTCATCTATCCTATTAGGAGTTACCTCACTACTTTAGCCATCCTTGTGCCTCAGAACTTTTGTTGAGCAAGCACATGTTTAGCTTTATCTACTAACTAAATTAAGCTTTTTTGTCGCCGGAAACTTGAGGGTTTTAGATGTTTCATTCTCAACAATATTTGTGGATGAATCAGCGTTATGGTAGTTGACAAAATAATCATGGTATCTCATGAAGGTAATATGTGTGGTCTTGTGCTCTAGATGATTCATAGAGTGCCAATAGACTACAAAAAATTCGTACAAACTTAACAGTTTTGATTTACATCATTGCATTGGTCGTATTAGTGCCGTAATAATTATATTCCTGACCTTACCAGAACTCCTCACACAATGTTAATATATTATAATTTTTTAAAATTTTTACTTTTTTTTTTATGATAGACCTATTTTTTTTAGTTCATCTATCCTATTAGGAGTTACCTCACTACTTTATGATAGACCTATTTTTTTTGGTTCATCTATCCTATTAGGAGTTACCTCACTACTTTAGCCATCCTTGTGCCTCAGAACTTTTGTTGAGCAAGCACATGTTTAGCTTTATCTACTAACTAAATTAAGCTTTTTTGTCGCCGGAAACTTGAGGGTTTTAGATGTTTCATTCTCAACAATATTTGTGGATGAATCCCTCTTGAAATGTACTTCTTGGTAAACCAATGGGTTATCTCTATGGGAGTAGAACTAAGTGGATGTGACGGTTTGCTTTGCATGAGTGGTACATTTTGCAAGTTAGAGAGAGCTGAACCTTGGCATTTCAAATGAAACAATGTTGATTCCTATTCATAATGCCATACAAAGCTAACATGGCAGCACTATTTTACTGCATCATATAACGTTCTTTATTGTTTGAGCATTCTATCAGTTGCAGCGCTCACAATGATGCTTATTTCTCTCTTTTTAGTATTATATCGATGTACACCTTCATTGCAGGTGGTTCATTTTTGTATGTGGTAAGCATTCACCTATTGACTTTATTTTTTTTAAAGATAGATTGTGTTTTTATTCATAAAATTTGATCCTTATCTGCGTTGGTCCTTTGGTTTACTTAGCTCGGTAGTTAGATCCTTATATTTTATAGAAAAAAAGGTTTCATTTAGATCCTTGTTAAATTGCATTTATGGGGCAGTGTTTTGATGTCCTCCATTTCTCTACTAGTTCTTCTCGAGCTTACTTGGAAGATTTTAAATTAGAACAACCTTATTCTAGAATGAACTAAACTGCAATATAGTTCAAATTTTGGTTGCTTCTCATGTGTAGTCTACTCGATTATGTTTAGTGGAATTAAGCGATCGAAATGCATTATTATGCACTGTATAATTGTTCTATTCGTAAGTAGTGGAGACACCAATCATAATTAGAGTTAGGTTACCTTTTGGCTTTTTGAAACTTTAGAAAGGTTCTCAGTTCCTTCTTTTCAGAACTGGAGCTGACTATCGTAGGGATATAGCACTGATCGAAATAAAAAAAGAATAGGTTGGTGCAGTTGGATCTATTCATCTATTCGCTGAGTTAGTCATCTAATACGCGACCACTATTGTTTGCATCTCCAGGGATATAGCCATATCGTAGGCATACTCAAAAAGATCTGTTAATCTATTTGAGTTCTTTTTTTAGAAAAAAATTTGTGTTGAAATAGAAAAGGTCATTTACTCAAGTACTTGTATCATATTTTCTTATATAGAAGTGTGGTTAGGCCTTTTAATGAACAGGATGATTAATTGTTCTGATTTATTACTATCATTATCAACATGTATGATTCACATTTTGTACCACGTATTGCCTTCAAAGTTTACAAAACATGACTAAATTAATGTCTATCATTGAGTTTATGAATGCTTTTAAATTATTTTTACATTCTAAAACTTTCAATTACTTAATTGTATCAACGGAAAATTGGTTGTGTCGAAATCAATGTTAATAATAAATCACATTTATGAATTTTTAGGATCTTTACGA